CACACACACACACACACACACACACACACACACTCACCAAAATGAATGTTTTCATCACCAAGTGCTACTGAAATTACCTGTAAGGTAACATCTTGTGGTTTCTTTATCTGTTGTTTTTTGGTAAAATGCTTTTCTCTCCTGTTTTATGCAAAGCAGGTGTGATTTTACTTGAGGAAACTGGACCTATTGTTTTTTTAGCACAGCTTCCATGTCTTGGTGTGAGGATGCAGCCTTTGGTTTGCTCTCCCTTATGAGAGCAACTCTAAATCCTAACAGCCAAGTGTCCATCAGGGACATTGGTTTTTGATTAACCTCTTCTATAATTAATGATTTCAATTATCTTGTCTTTATGCAACATAATGGCCGTCGATCCATATTCCACACATATAAAGGATGTTACAGAAAGCAGTTGGTAACATTGTAAAGTTATTCCCAGGTGCTTTATATATATATATACACAGTTGTACTTGAAAGTAACCCTTACAGAAAATCATCAATTTAGACCAATAAGTCAAATAAAACAAAATTGAGAAAAGTTATAATATATATATATAAAAATGTACCGTACTAAATGATCATTTAGAGAATAAAATAGAGAACTAGGACTCCGTGTCAAATTAAAATGCCTTGCTCAAGAACAGTGAACCAACATACATGTTTATTCAAAATCAATGTCAAAATCTCAATTTTTTATAGTTTTATTTTAGTATCACTTTTGCCAATTTCAATGTATTCTACTGGGAGCAGATTTTTTTTTTTCAAGCACAACTGTATGTATATATATATATATGAATATATATCGTATTAGAGCTTTCTGCATAACATCAATAAGGTTTTACACAGAATGTGGATTCTTTTTTTATTCCTTTTTTTTATTAGAACAAATTTCATGGTTTCCTTGGTCATTTTCCAGGCCGGGCAAAAAGAAGTTCAGCTGCAGAGTTTAAATTCCTGCGAAGTGGGTTAATGGCAGCGTTAAATAGTGTCCTTCTTAAATCCCCAGGACGTTCTAATGAACCTGAGCGCTACATGTAATACTGTAGGAACATAGATCGTTGACAGAGGAGTAGACGGATAAGAAATGTTTGGAAGTCCTTGATGTGTGTTTTTTTTCGTCATGGGCTGTACCGATACAGACCAACGTTTTACAAAGTTCTGTTTCAAAACCACAGGATTTTCCCCTCATATTGATTATTTGATTTAACCTTCCTTTAATAAGATGCCAGAACCAACCAGCATTGAGTTCCAGGCTTATTGAGTAGCCCACACTAAAGCTTTGTTATGTCCTAGAAAACATGCAAATTGAACAACAACAAAAAAAACGGAGCCAAGCCTGCAATACGGAATACTGGTCCATGCCTCTGAAAAGGGAGGCGGTAGGGTCATTGTTGGCCTGGCTGACCAGGCAAGATGTTTTAGTCCCCTGCATGGCGATGAAGATTGAGATGATAGCGGGAAGGAATCAACTCTATCGCTGCATTGTAGGTTTTTGAAAGCTGGAATCTGAGTCGCCCCCCCCCCCCCCCCATCTATGTTCTTTCTTAACATAGATGGCTTCCTTCACATCCCTCTCAAACCACCTGTCTTCTTTGTCCAAAATGTGAACATTATGTTTCAGGATCTGTTTGGTTTGAAATGTTCTGGGATTTTGTGTTTAGAGAACGCATCTCTTGGATTTCCTTGCTGATTTGAAAAACGCCCAGTTTGGGTCTCCACAGGTTTAGAGAGCATCTTTGATGAGTTTATGTTCTTTGTGCTTCTGTTATAGTAGGGTCATGCTCTGCCCACTGCTGGAAGGTCCTGATGACAGAAAGTTTGTGTTCCAGTGGGCGGTGTGAGTCAGAAAGAAGATATTGGTCTGTGTGAGTAGGTTTCCTATAGGCATCAGTGTGGAGGTTTCCATCCTTCAATGCTCATCGAACAGTCCAGAAAAGGTAGCTTGTTGTCGAATCCCCTGTTTAAACATTTAACTCTGTTATAAATGCTGTTTCTTCATTAAATTAATATCTAAAATAGCATTTAGCTTTATTCATTTATGCCTGAGTAATCATTGTGAACTCTGCTGTCAGGCATGAAATTAGAGACACCCCCACATGGAGGGGCCGCGTTGCAGGAAGGCAGGTGTCTGTCTTATCATTTGGGGGGGGGGAAGGATCACAAAATAAATAATAATTCATAAGAAATGACTACTCTGATATTTGGAGGCTTCTACAAAGCATGATTATACGGTGAGAACCTTGCACCAACTCATGCAACTTAAATATTGGTTTTGTCCTCTTTCTCAAAATTCTTAAAATGAGCAGCATTTAGTTTTCTTGTTCTGTCCACAAGCCCACCCTGATTAGCACAGTAGTAAAAGCAGCTGATTTAATGCTTTATTTTACCTACATCCACTTAAAAAAGACTAGGACGGTTTGTGCAGACTAGAGCCAGTGGCAGCTGGCCAATAGAGGGCGCTGGTGCACCACCCCACTCACCCATAATCTTTATTAAGACATAAAAAAGACAAATAAAAATTTAATTTTAAAAATAAAATGTTTCAAAATATGTTAATTCATTTTTAGATGTGCAAGATAGATATTTAATCTTTAATACCAAGTAAAGCTTTTTCGTTCACCATTATATTGGTGACCATTTCCATAAATCTTCCCCCGTAGACTCTGGTTAAAAGTTATCCATGCTCAGTAGCATCGTGCTGAAAGCAGCTCGATTAGCGCACCACGTCCCTCCACCGCGCCGGCGTCACATTCGTCTGTTAGAAAGTGCGGCTGATTGACAAGTTTATGGGATTATTTAGCTCCAACGCTAGGCTAACTGCATGCAGCCAGGCTAATTGCGTGCAGCGAGGCTAACTGCGTGCAGCGAGGCTAACTGCGTGCAGCCGCCACCGACTAGAATCAAGGGTAACAGAGGAAAGAGAGTCCAGAAAACAGCAAGTTAACAGTTTTTAGACGTTTAGGAAACTATCATTGGACATGTTCTACATAACTTGTTGCGGCCCATTGTGTCTTTAGCAACCGCTAGCTTGAACTCATGGTAAAAACCAAGTATTTTATTTACAAATAAATAGCTTTTCCAATATTTTTTTTTAAAAATAAGTTCATGTAAATAAAAATAAAAAAAAGTCTGCCATGAAGGCACGTAGAATGAATAAAGAACCTTGGGATTTTTTCTAAGAAACTTCATTCATTAGCAAACAGTCAGACATTATTGCTATGGAGTTCATTCATAAAATATGATGACATTTGATACATAAATGATGCAAAGAACTGATTTCAAGACACAAGTGATAGTTTAGTAAAATATTGGTTAAGGTTAGTATTGTTCCTTGTCATCCAGCTCTCTCATGCATAAAACATCCTCTCCTGTTTCTCTTTGTCATAAAGGAGATTCTTTTTTGTTTGATTCTAAAAGCGTTACAGTTTGTTCCTTCTTTCTTGTAAAACATTATCGTTTAACATTCATCTTTCTATTTGTAGAGAATCTGAACACTACATTGATGTAGGGGGTTAATTTAAGGTATATGTCTTCTTCTTCACGCCGTGTGAGCGCCATACCTTCACATCATCTCTGTGGAGTCATTTAACAGACTGAACCAAGATGGCGGCTAACAGATCACAACGTTATGTTTAAGTTTTAATTTTGTTTGTATGTTTAATTTTCTTGAAGGGTCCAGCAAAATGCACAAACAGGGCACATAGTGCTGATGTACAAAAATCTACTTTAATTGTTGCTTTATGCTCTTAAGACTTTTCTGAATGCCATGTGTTATAAACTAAAACTTTGATTGTTGTTTTTCTTTTGTACTCCTGTTCTTTCTCCTAATCTTTGAAATGCACAGATGATCTATTCTAAATGAAGTCCTACAAAACACCACTTTAAAGAAAAAGCAACTGTTTCTGTGCCTTTCACATGCATCAGCGTACTGTAGTTTGAAAACCCACCACCAGATGGCAGTGCAGGGTTGTGCTCAGATTAGAACTGTTCGCCCAGAGAGATTTTGGCCACTTTGCCTTCTGCAGAGTGTGAGTGCATCCTTCCATCTCTCTACATCCGTTTGTGTCCTTGATGCTGTTATTCAAACCGGTGCCAGAATTCTCTCTCTATTTTAAAGGAAAGTTGTTTATACTTCGAAAAAGAGGAAATTAATGCTACGTCTATTTATTTTTAGAAGCACACAGAGCAAATTGTACATACTATATTTATTCTATATATACGGTTGTTTATTTTGTCATTTTCTTCAGGCTCAGTCTGTCGTCTGTTCTGTCAGATTTCCTACCTGCATGTCACCCTGTGCTTTGGTGCCTCCACGGCGCCTAAAGGGATCAGATGACCTGCAGAAACCAGATGGTCAAAGTTCAGATCAGAGTAACCATCTTATGAAAGCCACAAAAAAAAGTTAAAGTAGCTTGGATCAATAAAAGATGTACAGTGTGATGATTGCTCTATCGAAATGTAAAAATATAAAAATACTCTGTGGCAGTAGATAGAACTGTGATTATCTCTTTTCGTTTATGTGACGTTTTGGAAATTGAAGTAAGTTTCCAAAATATAGGATGGATAACTTTCCAAAAGCGATCTAATAACACTCACCGTCCAGCTTCTGCTTATTTTATCTCTATATCTTTAAACTATTGAGCCCTCATGGGGAATCCTGCCTCCCTGTTAGCTTCCAGAGCCAGACTGAGCTGCTGAATGAATTTCCACTATGCTGTCTTTTAGGGAAAACTGATGTAGGCAGCCTGGTAATGTCTGACATCTACATGTTTGTCTCCTTAAAACACCCCTTCTGTGAGGCGGGGGGGAGGGGGGCTTTCTCTCTGCAGGATATTGTAATTTGCTGGAAATAAATAAATGACTATATTATTTCATACAGTTGCTCTGTTTGACTCTGTTTCTTTTATTTTTAATTATATATTTTCCATCAGTATTATTTACTCACTGACAAGATGTCGTAAATAAATCTTAAAATAAAAATCATCCTTGATACAGATTAAAACACAAAAACTGTTAAAGTGCATCGTTTAGTTTATTAAGTGAACCATGAAGTCAGGGACAGCCGATCTAATCCATTAACTCTGGAACCCTTTTTTGATATAGTTTGAGCTTAAAGCTGATAGTAATTTCTAAATATCTGTAAAAGGAAATTGTAAAGGCAAAAATGAAATAGGTCCAAGAGACGAATGAGTCGTGATCTCATCTGTTAGCATCATAACTGATTTAGGATTGTCCTACAAAAACTGATCTAAGACAAAATGTCATAAATTAAGGGTGTTTGTTGTTGATATGAAGAGATGATGATAAAATAGTATAAACTTGAAATAAAATATTGATGTTGTTTTATTTTGAAATCAGTTTGTCAGATTGCATTTCCTACCTGTGCAAATTAAAAGAAAATACACAGAAAATGTACTTATATTTGAATTTTACCAACATATGTTTTTAGTACCGGGGCCACAACAAGGAGCAGCTCTACAGCGGCCACTTCCCCCCCGACCCCCTTCTGTGAATGATTTGCATCTAAAGTCTTATTCAAAGTTTATTGGTTTAATTCAGATTCAGGACAGAAACCTAGGAATTCCTTTTCCTAGATATATTCTTTAGTTTATTCTGAAGGAGCAGCATTCTGGGTCTTTCCCTGATTCATCTCCTCCAGTGGATCCTTGACAGATGTCTGGGCCACTTTAGCTGATTAATAATTATAGAATCAGATGTTCCATCCAATTACAGAACAATACAGGATGTCTTCACTCTGCTGGAGGCTTTTTATCAGCACTCTATGACTCATCATGGATCATTACACTATAAAGAAGATGGTTACAGGCAGGCATCCTAGGGTCTCCCAACATTAAAAAATACATTGGCTTTGTGCAGAACAGCTGGACACACCTCTTGCTTTAGTTAAGCAAGAACCAGTTGCTCATAATTTTACAGCAACCTCCACAAAACTACGTAATTCTATTCAGTTTATTTCTATAGCTCCAATTCACATCATGTCATCTCA